AAAAAACCAATCCACCTTAAGACAAACACAAAACTGGTTTCTCGTTCGTAATCAGTTCATGGATCAGCTGTACTTTTTTGTTGGAAATTTCGTCTAAAATCATTCCCCAATTTGGCGTTGTAAGTACTGAGACACTATATATATAGTCTAAACATCGTCTTTCTTGCTAATATTTGATTTAAAGGGAACAAAAAAAAAAGGTTATTACCATATATACTTATACCATAGGGGAACCTTGTTATCAACAGAGGCCGCAGTAAGTTTTTTTTATTTTTTATTATTTATTTAATGAAATCAGAACTGTATAAACAGTACAACTAGTAAAAATGCACACATTAGAAATAATGACATGAACAGACTTGAAAAGATACTGCCCAGTGGTAGCACTCCCTATTTAATCCTAGGTGAGAAGATCACGAGGCCATCTTCTTTTTAGACGCCTAGGGGAATTATCATTATAATCGAGGAACAAGCAAAGGGGGAAACAAATGGATTCGGATGGGACTGAAGTTTATCGTGAAAGGATAGGTATCAGCGGCATGCCGCATTAAGATTAGGTCATGATAATGCAGGCTGGAATAATATTTTATACTTTACAATTGCTGTTTTTATTTATAAGAACAAAGGAGTAGGGGAGGGGATGGTATTAGAGAAATGATTGTAGTTTTTGTATGTGCGACGTTTTTGCTGAACCGAAATTCCGTGAGGCATATGTCCATATGAATTTGACTATGTATTTAGTTTAGTTCTGTTAAATGTTCGACTTTCTAAAGGGAAGTCTGTTAGTCAGCATTACCTTGAGGGCTTTCCTATTTGTTATGATAAAGTTCTTTTTGCACTGAGGATATCAGGACGAGTGCTATGCTCTTGATGAATTTTGTAGATAGTAACTTAAGTACTTTTTCTTTTATTAAAAAATTATTTTCACAAATAATCGGGCCTTATTGCATGCTGTAGGCGTACATAGTTCGCTTCGAAAATTGTGTCAGACGATTGTTCAGTTATTTACATTTTACGAAAATATATTAAAGTAATGTGATGATGTTTGGTTTTGTCTAAGTTCAAGAATAATCAGTGCAAAAGGGACGGAAGTAAGTCCATATGACCTCTGGCTGAGCAGAAATATTCAGAGTGAAACTCAGAAATTACCACTGAATGAATTCGTTTCCCTGGCAACGACCAGCCTTGCTCACAAACCAGAAGAATCACACATTCAAAAGTCTTGAACTTTTTCAAATGCACTTCGAATGATTGCTTACAAAGTTGTTCAGTATTAATAAAAGATAAAGGCAATACATTTATTTAAACTCTTAATGTTCGACTGGATAGATCTATTTATATTACAGATAAAGATTTCTAGAAAAGAAATGTAAGTGTACATTATCAATAAATAAAAAAGGCTGAAGATTTCCAACGTTTCATACTTTTAACAATCTTAATTTTGGTTTATTATTTTCAATAATGAACCATTGTAATCGTCCAAAAAAAAATTAAAAAATTAATCCTACCTCAAAATTTGATGTTTTACGTATTACTATACGTATAATTCGAAAATTGAATAATTTTTTTTTGTCTATCTGACGTCCGAAGCTTTTCCCCGAAACTACTGGACCGATTTTTTTCAAATTTGAATCAACGTCAGAGGTCACCCGAGGATGATCCTCCTACCTTGATGTTACTATCCGTCCTTTCCTTCCAATATTGTGGCCGAAAAACCTGTGTTGGTATAGACTGTAGCGCCTATAGGAATGTACCGATTTCAATGCTGATTAAAGTCTTCTTCTCGATTTATTATCGATAAAACGTACTTCAACGAAAAGAAACTAAAAAAAAGTTATGAGGAGATAATAAAATTTCATTTTCAAATAACTCAAGAAGTATACGTTTTTTTATTAATAGGTGTATTATGATTTTTTAAAAGTTTACGAAACGCCAAAAAATAAATAAAAATCGTTGAAATCGGACAATTTAGTGGAAAGGTATGGTGTTCTAAATATGTTTTATATGTTCTACTGCAGTACTTATATACCTTGTTTTTTTTTAGTTTTACGTCAACTATAGCATTGTTGTCTATTTTTAAACAAAGTATCACTGGTAAAAAAAAAAATATATATAGATCAATGTTAGGAATCCCTTTTTTTATTTTTTTTAGCATGTAGCATGGAAGTAAGCATGTATGTAGCATGGAAAGTAATGTTAACTTTGATAATAAGTTGTTTGGAAATAATAAGCCTTTACGTAATAATTTGGTGTTTTTTTTTTTACTGCGTTACATTTAAACTCTACTTGATCGATTTCATCAAACTTTAAATATTTATATAGTTCCTGATGTCCTCCAAACTTCCGAACATTTTAAAATCCAACTATTTTTTTGTTTGCACAGAAACCTGTCCCTTGTTCTTCCATTAATTTTTACGAACGTAAAATGAAACCCTTTTTCCATAAAATTATCTACTGTTTTGATGATATTTAAATGTGATTTTTTGTTCGATATACATAAAGTTTCTCCGAAGCAAGGAATATATTTTCCGATAAAATGCATGGTTCCGAAAAAATTACAATATACAGAAATTTCAATACCTTTGAAGTGAATTACTTTGTATCAGTTTTTTAAATTCATGTGATGCTTTGTGTTATTGTAATAGATTAGGTGTCTATTAATTCTGGAATTTATACATTACCTTACTTAGAGTAAAAATGAACAAAAATTTATTTATTATAAAATATTATAAAAAAGAAAAATATACGAATAGTTTTAAATTAATAAACAATGCGAAAGAAAAAGAAGAGCATAACGCTATGTTAATGAAATTGAGAACAAATTAAAACCAATGTTAAAAATTTACAACAGTCCATACAATTATTCATTTCGTTTTGGCAGGATTTGGTCCAACGACAAATCATTTTCCAATAATTCAAGGCCCCTTTTTTCACCAAATTCAATTGCGACCGCTTCAGATGTAAATGCTTATCGCTCTACTAAAATTTCATTTCAATTTCTCCTTATTCATAGAGAGAAAATCAAAAGCAATCGGTGTGTTAAATTTCTGTTACACGGTTTACTGTATAATATATATATATATATATATATATATATATATATATATATATTATATATATATATATATATATATATATATATATATATATATATATATATATATATATATATATATATATATTTCAGATTTGGACGGTATTTCAAATTCAATATATTAAAGTAAAAAATAAAATATATTTTTTGTTTTGCATTTTTAGAAGTTTATAATTATTAATTAGAAAATAATTAACTTACTCTGTATTTTAAAACAATAAATACTTGGTAATTTGAATACTGTATTTCAACATACTTAACATAATTTGTCTACATGTCTAATATATATATATATATATATATATATAATGATTAACTATACATTAATTTGTTCAGCGATAATATGTATTATTAATTTAATTTAATTACATTAATAATTATTACATATTCTGAAATAGAATGAAGTTTCTTATCAGCACAAATAAGGTAACTAAATCAGATCCTCCGAAGCAAGCTTAGCAAGTAGATCCAATCTTCATTAGCCAGCTGGATACGGGAACAGATCCTATCAGGCTGATGCAATCATGACATTATCAACGGATTCGACAAGTTCTGACCAAATATGCTACCAGTTTGGATGGCTAGTCCAAGATAGTGCAGTAATCTGTGCTAACAGCATGCATAGGTCCATATAAAGAGAATTCCAATGATTGAATTCAACAATTACGAGATTATAAAAGACAAAGAAGTAAAAACAATAAGCAGAACGTACTTCAAAAGCATGATAAATTATTCTTACGCAGATTTCACTATACGTCATTTCACTCATCTGAATTCACCAGAAGTCCTTGATTAATTCCTAATTGAATTTAAGATATAAATAACAAAATGTTCTGCAAAGAGTATTTAGAACATATAAAGACATCGCAATGCAGAAATATGGGACAACAAAAACAAATGTAATAGATATAACTAGTAATTTTCGCAACCTGAATGAAATGAGTACGAATGAGTACAGGTAATTTTTTTTTCAATGCGTACCTGTTAATTACAGCTATTGATAATGATAAAATGTGCTGACTAAATAATGAGATGAAAAAAGACAAATAAGTAAATAGACAGAATAAACATATATAAATAAATAAAAAATAAAAAGGCTTGATCGACAGCAGAAACGAGAAAGAATAGCAAAAACTAGCGACAATCCTTCCAGATCTTTAAATTACTTACATAATTCTGTACACAAGAGATCAATAATACAATGTCTATTTTTGTATTTTTTAACGGAAACGCATGTTCCATAACTTTGAACTATTAAAATGTATTTCTTAATTACTAAATTATTTAATAAAAAATAGACTTGACCTCTGGATCACAGAATTATGAAAGCTGATCCCTCATCCAGACCCTTTTCATTCGTCTTGTGGAATTGTCCGGTGTAAGAATAGAAATCATTTATTTACTCTAGTTTTTTTTTTTATTCTTATTTTTATTTTTATTTTTTATATTGTAACACCAAAATCGGTATAAAACTAATTTAGCCTTTCTTCCCAATTGTATGTAGTTATTAGTATGTTGTTATTTTTGTACCAATATTATAATATTGTAACCCTTGTACCCATCTACTTTTCTAAATATACCCTCCAAAACTATGTATATACTCATTTTATTACGTAGATTGTAGTAACTCTTTATTATAATAGGTCATCTGGTCAGATTTATTGTCAATTGGTTTGAACAATATTGTTATCCTTAAGGGGTCCCAGAATAAAGATGATTTTCTACTTCTAAGAGTTGTGGCTATTTCTTCTATCAGCTTTTTTTTTAAATTATGACTCTCTTAATCGGCTTCCGCCATCAGAGATCTTGTATTCCAGTACCATTCCGATTCGGATAACGTGGTATCTCTTATGTTTAACAGTGCGAGCATACACCTAAATGCGCCTCACACATATGTCGTCCTGAATTACATAGGTTGCAATGTGCAGTGTCTGCCAGTCCTATTCAATGTAGGTGGTTTCTGAGGTAGTCGTGGCCTGTTCGTGGGAACTCGATCCGCTGCATTAAACACATTTCTCCATTTTGCTTTTCCGAAATATACCTCTTTACGGAATCCACTAATAGAGCCTCTGGCCTTATTTATTTCTTTTATGGCTCTCTGATATGATATTTCATTTCTTCTATTATCTGGTTGAAATGTCCTTTCAACTTATCTTGGAATCGTTTGTAGTACGTCCTTATGGATTATAAGACAGTCAGAATACGTAAGTCAGTATGTAAAGTGTTGTAAATTACGTACTGGATTGCTTAGGTAATTTTTCGTAGTATCTTATACTGAAATGTTTGAAGATTTTTTTATATATGTAGGCTTCTTATATTTGTAATCCGTCCGTAAGTCCAGAGAGGTTTAAATAGGTATGTAGTAAATATCTAATTTTTTTCTTGCTTTTGATTTGGAATATCGTCTTAATAGTGATTGTTGTGATATTATTCTTAGATTTAAAGTGGTATATTTAATTGGTATATATACACAGTAAAACTTCAAGAAGACTTGGATAAGATTTTAACTGGGCGAGAGCCAAAAAGTTGAAGTTAAATGCGGAAAAGACAAAAGCAATCTTAATTGGTTTCAATTACCTCCTTAAAACTGTTCCTCATATTCCAACTCTGTTCCTACATGATAATCCCATCAAATTCTATCCCTCCATCTAAAACCTTGGAATGATCTTTGATCAAACGCTTTCCTGGAAAAATCATATATCCAACATCTCCCGCGGTACCATTTCCACCTTAAAACGTCTAAATTACTTCCGTCACCTACTTTATCTTGGAGCCCGTAGGCTTTTAGTAACTTCCTTAATTTTTCTTCACTTTGACTATGGCTGTACGGTATATGGGGGCGTCTCTGGGGATCTCGAGGCAAAATTAAAACGTTTGATAAATTGCTTTGTACGATTCATCTTCGGGAACCCCAGGGACGCCTCTGTTTCCCGTTTTTATGCAGAGTTGAAGTGGCTTTATCCTTCCTACCGTCGTAAATATTTCCTATCATCCTTCCTCTTTCAAGTTATCAAATCACACTGTCCTTCATACATCTCTGAGCTCCTCCAATTCAAATCCTCTGTTCGCTCCCGCAATACTCGTTCCAGGTCTTCTGATTTATACATTAGGGCCACCAAACTGCTGCTTTCGACAGATATTTCATTATCCGATCTTCATCACTATGGAACTCCATCCCTTCCCACATCCGTCAATCCAATACCCTTCCTACCTTTCGATCCCACCTGTTCAATCATTTCTTATCCATCCACCATACAATTGTAAATAGATACCACTGTAAATATGTATATAAATTATTAGATCGTTCTTCATTATTTTTACTTTGTTTTAAATTTTTAATTATTAACATATTTAAGTTAGAAAGTAACTCATTAGAAAGTAATTTTTTATTATGACTATTTCATTACTCAGCATTTTTTTAATGTATCCTTGAGGCTCCTTAGCCCAAATTTCTGCCCTTCTCTACTATTCTAAAGAGACTCGTCCCAGAATAAATAAATTATTATTATTATTTTATTTGTCAACAGGTTTTTTGTTTACTTGAGAGGGGGAGAATCAACTCCAACCATCTCAGATATGTTCTATTTTAATTTCTATTGGATGTTGAGAAACCTTCTTACAATTCTGGCAGTATTCAATAACACAGCTTTCTGAGCTTCCTTTATTACGTGAGTTGGGAGGCCCAGCCTGTCAGTAGCTTCCACAGTAGAAACCGGTACCAGGCCATTGCTGGAGCTCACAATGCCCCTAACGGATACTTTATTAAGTTTATACAATTTTTTAACTCAGCTACTAGACCTTGATACTTCCGATTTTTTTCTGCACAGACTGAGTTAATGTTTCTGACATTTGGCACAGCAATATCTATAATCCCAGCTACCTTAATATTACTGTCAATTAACATAATATCAGGTCTATTGTGAATCACGACATGGTCTGTAATAAACGATTGATTCCAATATAATTTTAATCCATCTTTCTGGCAGACACCATAAGGGCGGTATTTATAGCAGGGCACCGAATCGTTTAATAATTTAAGTTTCAGACCAATCGTCTGGCTATAGACTTTGGCATTATTATTTTTATTATTATATTTATTTCTTATCATGTGGACCCCATATTATTTTTCTATCAAACGTCAGTTCTAGGTATTGTCCTCAGTCGATTTGTGGAATTGGTATGTTATCTAAGTATTGACGGGTTAAAAGAATATACGGGAAGTGAGTAAACACATTGGTTAAAGAGGAGGAAATGAGGCACTAGAGGAAACAATAATACAGGCAGTAGGGGATGAGGTGGAGTAGACAGATGTTGATGAAGTAGCGCTAAGCAGGAGGAGGCTAACCGAGGGCAGACAATGGCCGTGTCCTGCTCTATCTGCCCGTCTGTCCTCCGCTTCCTCTCCCTTATCTTCTTCTGTTTCCTGCTCAGCCGCCCAGCAAAAACTCCTCTTCTTGCTCCGGAGTACCTCTGTCTCTGGTCATAATTAAATATATATATTCGTTTTCGCGTTAATTTTCTCGTCAGGTATTTTCAATATTAAATTTGCAGGAACAATTAAACATATTTTTTTCTCTTCATTCCTCTCTTCACTCTTGACATAGATGAAACAAGATGAAGGATAGTACCCAGAAGCACCTTTATTTGGTCTTAAAATAATCCTTTGCTTTACGAAATATATTTGGTTGATTGTCGTAAGTCAGTTGTAAAGGTTTCTTCTTACGTACCAAGAAGCTGCTGTTTAAATACAATCTTAAAATCTTGGATTGTCCGTCTTTATTGCTGAAGCGTAAATCTGTGAACTTTATGTCATTGCGTATTTAATTAATAGCGTAAAACTTCGTTTGTCATCAACGCCATTTTTAACATTTTTTTTTAAATTTATACGATATTTACAACTGAATAAAAAAAAAATACATCAAGTAAATTCGCACATGGATATAATGACATGAAACACATGTTGAGAAACTACCCATTGGTAGCACTCTAAGCACGTGGCCATCTTCTTTTCAGACGCCTCGGGGGGTTATGAAGTTTATTATGGAAGGACAGATATCTGGATTGGGCCAAATCTGATACATAAGGAACTTTAAGATCATTGTGGATGATTTTATTTGAAAACAAAGTAAGGAGCATTAAGGATTTTACGAAGGATTTTGGATTGTAAGGATTGGATACGAGAAGAATTTGAAGGTTTAGTGGAGCCTCAAAACTCAACTCCGTAAGTACAAATAGGCCTTATTATAGTCATGTAAATGAGTCTTTTGTAATTAATTGGAAGGTTAGAGCGTCTAGTAAGTGTTGAACTAGTCGGAAACGTCGAGCTGTTTCTTGTCGTTTCAGTCTGGTATGAGGATTCCAAGTTAGACGTTTGTCCAGGTGGAGTCCTAGGTAACTTTTAACATTTAATTTATTTATTTAACTATTCGTTTTTCATACTCATTATATAAACAAGAATATAAAATAAACTTTATTCTGTGACGATGTCCCTTTAGAATAACAATAATAAATAGTTAACAACAAGAAGTCGTCCTCACGCGGTTGAGGATCAGACATACAAGATCTTATCCCCAGATGTCAAAAGTGTGAGCAGTCATTAACTATAAAGCATATTTTGGAAGAGTGTTCTTTTTACACCGCAAGGTTAAAAGATCTCGGAATACCCCAGAATATATCAGCATACCTGGGAAATCAAGAAGAAATCATTACCAAAGTTATTACGTTCCTAGACAATGAAAGACTTAAAAAACATATATGAAAAGTTTGTAAATAATGACCCTTTGCAGATTTATTATTATTTTTTAAATTTAAACAGTTCATTTATTTATTTCAATTTATTTATTGATTTTATTGTTATTTAAAAGTTTATTTATTTATCTATTACGCTCTATTATTCATAAATATATATTATCATCTTTATTTATTTATTTTATTCTATTATTATTTTTATTTATTTGTTTTTTAATGCTTTTTTTGTACCAACCACCTAAACAGTATAAATGTAATGTTATTTGGTTTATCGGGCTCTGGACATCGAAAAAAAACCAATAAATGGACAATTACAAAAGAAAAAGTTCACATCTGACCAAAAACTATTTTAATAAAGAAACAATCTTAGTTGAAAAAAAAAGAATTACATATATAGAACGAAAAACCAAAACCTCTAGAAAAGAAAAAATATCAAAAGTACATAAATAAAAAGTTTTGACTTTTTATGTTAAAACATACAAAATATATATCTAGTAAAGATATATTAATGACAGAATATGAGCAACGGGGTTACAATATTGCATTATCCCAGCATAAGAGATATAAAATAAGAATAAATAGATAAATAAATTAGGAAGGGGCATTAAATTAATTTTATGTACACTAACTATACGCATATTTATTATTATTTTTTTAGTATGAATATGTTATTCGTTCGATGTCATATTTTCGATAGCTTGTTTTCGAATTTTATGAATTTGAGGACTAATTCTATGATTTTATGCCATATCTAAGTATTTTTGCTGAATCGGGTTTAAATCCAAGCTATATTAAAATCTGAGGTAGACTATAGAAAGTCCTGAAAAATATAGCATACTGTAATGTTACTATTACAACGTCGGTATTTCGTTTGTTCTTCCTTTGTGAAGAGGTAGGAGTGAATTAGTCTAGTATATCTAGTAGCCTACGATCCTGTCCGCGAAAGTTTCTTTGATTAAATAGTAAAATTTTAAAAATTATTAAATTAATATAAAAATATAAAATTTAGCTAATTACTTATACGTAAGGTTACTACATCATTTATGGCATCAGTTACTTCTCTCAGAAATTTCATATCACAACTGAGGTGTCATTTATAGACCAAACATATTTTTGGACCAAAATTTTGGAGACCCTTGGTCTAGTATGTCCTACTCCCAGTCGTGTCAGTATTATTTCAGTTGCATAAAGTTGCAGCTGGAGGTGCCCGAGGGGCTTACATCTCGTTTTATAATTTTTAGTTTATTCGGTAGGCTTTCATTTCACATGGACTGTCATGCAATTTCAATTTCGTTTTTAAGAGGTTTATTTATTTCTGATGGAGTGAGAACTGTTTTGCTCCGTCTAGGTACCGCAAACGCTTCCATTTCGGCACGATCAGGCACATCGTTTTATACGATTCATACGAGGCTTTAGGCCCAGATAAATTTAACTATCTTATCTAGATTTTGTAAAGTGGCTATATAAGAGAGAATGCTGGAAATTATCGGATGTTTTGGATACCCACAATCTAGCTTAAAGGTATTGAAAAGCAGGAGACTGTAGATGAAGGAAGGGTGTCGGAAATTGATCGGCTGGAATAGGTAAGATAAAAAGAAGTAATGTTGCGAAAAAAGGGGAAAGTGAATTTAACTCGTCATAAAGTTGGGACACATGGGACTGCCTCGATACCCGAAGACCCATATTAACGATATGATTCTTAGGACAATTACATTAATGACATTTAAAATGTTAAAACTGCTATATTACTAACACATTAATTAAGAATTATTTTCCGAATACAAAAACAGTAAGGTCTCAAGCATAGAGTAGATGAAGATTTTAGTAAGCGTCATCTTTCTCTATTGACACAATAATATAATTTAATCTTATAATTCTAAATCGAAATTGAAAGTTCCACAAAAACTAAACACATATCCCTACCTACTCAAACCCATCTGGACATACGCCTATCTGATTTACGGTTCGTCAAAAAAGGCGCACTTACAAAAACTGCAGTCATTTCAATCCACAATTTTACGACTTATAACAGGAGCTCCCTGATACGTCAACAATAAAACTTTACATAACGACTTACGACAACCAACTATAGACCAACACATACGTACTCTCTCCTCTCGTTTTCATCTCAAACTACACGAACACACAAACAGACTTATAAACTACATGTCTACGACTGACATGCCCATCAGGAGACTAAAAAGGAGCTGGATGAGAGATCCCCTCACCTAAATCAAAGACGTAAATAATGACCAGGAAGAGGTGCTGCTGGGAACTATCCTTCCTCATGCACATAATGCCTCATCATGGCAACGCATCTGCTGATTGTCAATACCATGACAGCTGTGGATAAATAGATAAAGAGAAAAAAAATCTTATAATTAACCAAAAGCGTTAAATTTAATTAAAATAGAAAGTTTACCATTTTTTTTTTTTATCAATTTACAAAACCAAGATGACCAGCTCTGGCTGATATCAGATCCCCTGCCGCTGACATATTATCCTGAGGGATGGGGAACAACAAAGGGTTGGAGAGATGATGTGTGAGGTACTCACCTGTACCATCGATCAATTCTCCTCTTATCTTTATCATCCTGAAGAATGGGAACCTCACAACCTCATCGGTATCCTCGGGACCAAGGGATGACCGAAGATTGAAAGATTCAATCAGTTTGAGCGAAGAACATTTTTAGATGAGCTATGCCAACAAGGCCATGCATTAATTATTCTAATAAATATATTAATGTTTCATATGTTTGATTTCTTATAAGAAAAGAACGATAATTTCGACAAACATCTGTAGTATATTGACGTTTAATATGCTGCTCATCTGGCTCTAAAGAGGATGGAGATATCACCCAAACTTTCTCAATATTTCGAACCGCAAAAAGTGGGATTTTTTTTAGACATGAGTACCTAATTTAAATTACGAATATTGTGGCATTTTCTCTCAAAGATTTTTAAAAAATATAAAAATCGATCGTTACATATAATATAGTAATATTTCGCAAATTCCTTTTTCGAATCTCAGAAGCGATGTATTTCGATGAAAGGGAATTTTATGAAGAATAGACTAATCCATCTCCCCGAAATTGCAGGGAAGAAAGTCAAGAAGAAAATTTATCTTGCCCGTTTTTAGTACATTTCTTGACTGAATTTGGCAGATAATTACCAAAACCGCAGCTGATTTTTGTATGTAATATTACCTCAGGATTTAAAGAACATTTTAACTACAGTAAGATCTTGGCTGTCATTGGCCAAAGTTACTTGTCCTATAGAAATGCGAAATTCCAGTATCCGTCGAGTAATGATACCCTATCAAAATACTTATAATTTATTAAAAAATAATTTATTTAAGATTTTTTTTGTATTATTTTCTTTTTATTTTTATTTGCCTCTATCCTAGAGGGTTATTGGAGGTAATTCATGATTTTTATATTCTATTATAGTGCTTTTTTTTCTAATAAATATTGAAAGAGAATGACGACATCATCCTCCATATCTCCCAAAATATCTTTTATTGTCGTAGAAAGTTTTGATTTTTGTCTCTTTTTTTCATATTGGAGGAACTCATAATAGATGCTTAATTGTCTGAGGGGTGTTGTCACACCTTTGGCAGGTCGGCGCTTCGAGACCTCTAAGAAGGTATCCGTGTGTGAAAAGACATTGTCCAATTCGCATTCCGCACAATATTACTTCTTCTCTTCTCGATTTTCTGGAGCTTGTGGCCTACGTGTTGCACTCGGTTTTTTTCCTGTTAGTTTGTCTCGTTGTGTTTTCCACTGGTTCATTTAAGAACTTATATGGCTCATTTTAACAAATTAGATAACAAAATAATATTTTTAGAATTTAATGAAATCAAAAATATATTTGTTATATATTTATGGCCATAAATTAGTTTTGTAGAGACAGGATTTTAATTTATATTTTCTTGAAAATCATGGAACCAAGTATTTTTAATCGTGCATTATCTGTTGGAACATATGAGAAAACTATGTCCTATATTAAAAAAAAATATGAATTATCATAATACCTTGAAAACAGGGGTTTTGGCCGTGCTCAGAACACTGTGTGTCGTGTGTGAATTGAAATATTTAGTTTAAAATCTATTTTATTACGTTTAATAAATTTATTTCTATAATGTTAGGGTTAAGAGAAGCATCGTGTTTGGTAGTGATATACTTCACTCCATAGTGGTCTCAGGCCTCGCCCCTAAAACAATTTAATCTCAATCTTACATATGTTACTTAATTGATTCAATTGCGGCTCAAATATACGTCATGTTTGTGTTCAAATATATTTCTAATTTATTTATCAATACAACATGTTTTTATAAATTTATTTTATAATATTGTTATAAAGATTGGACTGGTGCACGCTCTGTGACACAATTTTACGAAAGGTTGGTGTAGAAACACAGATGTGAGAAAATAAGAGCCGTGAGCTGTGTAAGGGGAGTGTAAGAACCCCTTCAAACTGTTGTGGCCTACGTGAGCGGGGTACCAGCCCCAACTATTCTCTTAGTCACTCTATGTTGCCTCGAATTACCCCCACCTCAATATTCACCTCGCCCTCTTACCCACTCTAAGGATAAATATCTTTTTTCAGCGAGGTTCTTCCTCGAAGAACAAATAGAGCGATGTAACAGCGCCAGTAATTTCGATTCTCCCTCTCTCCCACACACACAAAAAAAATATTTAAAACTATATACATATTTACCAAAACTGAATCTGCTAATAGAATATAATGATGATAAGAACTAGTGAAGAGGCTATGTATTGATAACACTTCAAAGATTAAATGAATTTAGCAGATCCCTTGGCATTCTTCTTTTTAGACACCACGGAGGATTGACAGGAATATTTTTGGATGAAAGGTTATGAACTATAGTGACCAAAAAGTTTGGAATTCTCTAAGGAGTCTCTAATTCAGACCAAGTCTTCAACAAAAGGAATTTTGAGGTTTTATGGATAAGTTATTTGAGACATAATAAGGACCTTTAAGGATTTCACGGATGATGTAGGACTGTAAGGATTGGATACGGGAAGAAATCAATAATTTTGTGGAACCAAAATCCTCAATTTCATATATTTCAATGGGTCCGTTGATGGTAGTGTATAAGAGTTATTTGTAGAATATTGGAAGTTTGTCTTAATCATTGCTCTATATCTTAAAAACATAGTTCACCTGTGAAATATGAAACGTGGATTCAATAAATTCAATTTACAGGGAACTATCAAGAAAGAGAATATAAAATTTAAAAAAAATGTAAACAAAAAACGTACAAATTACAGTAGTTGTATAATTTATTAAAGGAATATGGCACACGGAAGATAACATGTTTAGATATACCGTTTGCAGGTGTGTAACAATTTTTTTATTTTGATGCCACAAGTTATTCAACGAGTTCCCGTTAAAAGTATTAATTTCAGATCGAAATACGGAGAAAATGGAGAGTGGCCAAACAGGCTGACGCGTTTGCGAAATACGCAATGCCCGGCAATCTGATTAAACGAATTTTAATTCTGTGCCAAAAGAATTTTAATTCTGACATTAAACCCTCGTCCTCATACTTGAGCCAGGAAAAAAACTGTATAGCCAAAAAACCAGGAAGGAGAAAAAATATCAAAATACTGTAAGATTATTATTATATTAAATATTTATAATTTGATTCATCTTCATCTAATTTTAATTGAATATTTTTTTCATTATATTACTTCGATTTCATTATATGTACGAAGAGACATACAGTGGTTACTTTATAAATGGAAAAATCTGAACTATAAAGCCACGAGTCTCTACCATACAGGTGAACAGTTAATCTGCCAACGTTTCGCCAATCAGGCATCAGCAGGACAAAAAAAAATTACGTAAATGCAAAAAGAAAAAAAAAAGGAAGAAAGAAAAAAATTGCTATAGAGATCTCACCAAGCCATCCAAATACATACTGAACTAACCAGAAGTTTCCATACATACAGCAGAGGAAGAATATATTAAACAACTGACTATCAGTGTTAAAAGGGAGAAATATATATATAGAAATAGAAATAGAAATAGAAAAATAACTTTATTCTGGGACTAAGTCCCTTCAGAATAACAAAAAAGTACAGAAATTAAAATTTTACATCTGGCCAGATAAAAACAAACATAACAAATTAAGATAAAGATGGGTCATTAAAGAAAAGAAAAGAAAAAAATATTGGTTGTACACACTATATACAAAATAAAATAATAAAATCTATATAAAAAACTCTTGAAACCATACTAAGATACTTAAAACTATGTACAATGTTAAAATATAAATAAACCCTTTTAGAAAAAATAAAAAATACAGAAAAAATAAATGTATATTCTTCTTAACAGTAAAATCTGTTTCTGTTGAAAAAAAAAAAGAGAGAAAAAGAAAGTCGAATCTATAATAAGTATTCAGGTCATGAGCTATATGTGAATATGGTCTTATAGATAACATGTAATTTTACATAGAAGGTTAGCTGGTGCCTGACTGTTTTTGGGACAAGAATTGGAATAGGAGGGTTTTGAATGTAGATAAGAATGAAGAATGTCGAATTTTGATAGGAAGGGAATTCCAAAAACTAACAGAACGTGCAATAAAGGAGTTTTGGAACGAGGCAGATCTGTGAGAAGAAATGTAAAGATCGGAAGGTCGAGATCTTGTAGAGAGGGAGTGGACTGAGGACTTGAATTGGAGAAGGTTGTAGGCGTAGGAAGGACGATGATTGTTGATGATATGATAGAGGAATGTACCTAGGAAATATTGTCTTCGAATGGAGGGGAAGAGCCACTCTAACTCTGTGTAATGGTGAGAGACATGGTAGTATCTCGGGGCACCAATTACAAATCTCACGCAACTGTTCATTATTCTCTCAGTCTGTCGCGGAGCTCCACCGAGAGTCCATCATACACCACACAGCAGTAGTCAAAGTGGGGGAAGATGAGAGAGGAAACGAGGAGTCTACGCGTATGTTGAGGTAGGAGATGGCGGAAGCAATGGAATAGTTTGAGGGTAGAAACTGTCCGTCGGGAGATGTGAGAAATATGGTGACTCCAGGAGAGGGTTTGATCAATAAATAGTCCTAAATTTTTTACAGAGGAGTAGAAGGAGATTGGCTGGTCACCAAGGATTAGTATGGGAAAGTCCGTATCTAAGGAGGGACTTGGAACCAATGACAATGGCCTGAGTTTTTGAAGCATTTAACCTTAATCCGTTTAATTTTGCCCATTCACAGATTCGATCTAGGTCTGCTTGGATCTTAGTAAATGCTACCAATAGCTCAGGGGGTATTGGGTATATATATATATATATATATATATATATATATATATACAATAAAAAATGTGTTAATTAAATAAAATAAAAAAAGAACAAATTCTCCTAAATACAAAAGGAAAAAGCTCGAAGATTGAAGAACAGGGTGTCCCAGTTCTTAATGGCCAAACTTTAGTAGTAAATATCATACATAAATAAATTTAATAAACATTTTTCTAATATATTTATATGTTTCTAGCGAAGAAAAAATTAAATTTAGAGCTGCCAAATGATATAGTATCATAAATTCTTAAGCAAGACATATT